AACTTCGAAATACCTCGGAGGAGCCCTGGAAAAGCTGATGGGTTGGGTTTTCTTGGGGGGCGCTCTGTCTGATTCAGATGGTGTTAGAGGGTCCACCCGTCAGATGCCCGACTGCTCCGCCCGTCAGGGCCCCGAGGCGGGTTAGTTTGGGTCCAGGCACCAGAAGCCTAGGTTGGTCAGTTAGTTGGCAAAGGCTCCGCCATCAGCTCTGCCCGTCAGCAACTCCCTCGGATGAGTGCAGGGGTGAGGGTGGGCGGGTCCGGGTTCGCTTGTTGGAGGGTCCGCCAGTCAGATGCCATCTATCTGTCTAACTCCCCCGTTTCCTCAGTTCCCCCCAGTGTCCGGGTTCCGCCCGGCGAGTCAGCCGATCCACCCGTCTGATGCTATCCTCCCCCCCCCCCCGGCAGCAGTAGCTGCTAGCTGTTGCAGGACTCAGATAGTGCTTTCAGACAGAGGTGCAACCAAAGGCTTAGCGGGTCAAAGGCGATGTACAGGCGACGTCCCGCAGCCAAGGATCAAGATTCGTGCCAATGAGCGTTGAGCCTTGACTCAAATTTGCAAAAATGGCAAGGACGTTCCTGCTAAACGATTGAAGTTGCAAGCGTGTGGATGGTGTGGGTTGCTACCAGAGATTTCGGCTTCATGCACCTATCACCTGAGATCGTTAGTCGGATGTTTGTGCTAGGTTTCTTTGCCTCAATCAGGTGGGAACAAGCAGGTCTTTGACGTGATTGTGTGGCATCTGCTGTACGGTTCTTTCTTCCAAGCCTCCAGACAGGTCGGTGTTGAGATATTCAGCAGCTCTCACATGAAGAGGCCCGAAATCATACTTGAGAATGCCAAATCCTTGCAGTGGTCCGTAGTGTTCTGCTGTCCGAGCCGGATGACTCTTCTTCACCATTGGCCCCGAAAGCCAACGAATCCGCTTTTCAGCCAAAGCAACTCGCCGCCACGACAGCCAGAGTGAGGCTTGAACGTGGATTTGAGCACAAACTACGTCAACTTTGCTGAATGCAATGGGAACGCCAACCAGAATTGGTATTTCCAAGGTTATGCGTTGCCTGGTGGCACGTAAGAACCTTCGGTGCAACTGTTCGGCTTCAACTGCTGGGCATCTTCAGTTGTCGTTTGGGCGCATGTCGTTGCGGGATGGTTTTGGAAAGCAAGATGCGAGAATGGAATCTCATCTTTGAACCGTGCATGAGTCATGCAACAAGCACAGCACATGTAAGGCTGCACTGGGCCCAGGACGAAGACATGCAGATAGAGTTGTGTACAGGCTCCGACTACTCGCACATTGAGTGTCAATCGTTTAAATCCAACTTAGCAGCTCAAGAAGGTCCGGAGTCCAAACCCGTCATCCCAGCAGCAGATCCCTAAATTGCTTGAACGGTTAGTTCTAACTGTCCTATAGCCCCCAGACCACAATATGACGTTCGGATTGTTGAGACAGTGGTGTCAGGTTGAGCTCTAGCTACTACGGCAATGGCAAGTGCGTGGAGTGGGCGTCAGACGCCCGAGCTGGACCACGTTTCGGGAGTTGCGGTTTGAGAGGTGAATTATATCGAGGGAGAGAGTTCAGGAAACACATGAAAGCATGCTATTTGGCCATTTCATAGTTGTGTTTAGAACCCAACTCTATGGTCTCGTAAGTCCTGCTTTTCTGAGAGGCAGTACGGTGTAGTGTCACTGTTGCAAGTAAGTTTCGCCTCTCTTTTGACCGACGGCAGCTGGAGGATCAGGGCTTCATAGTTGTTGACCAGGAGGAGCAGGGACAGACCATTCCTTTTTTTCGCTTGTAGCATGTGTAGCATTGCCCTGAGTGCCGTAGAAACTAGGTTTTATGGCTCTTCCTGATGTCGACTACAACCCCATCGAAGTCCAATCTCAGGGTCTGGGCATTCGGGGCACCCTCATCATGCGTGACTGCCGGGATACTCTCGACCAAAAGTTCGTTTGGGCGGCCGACGACGCGCTGAAGGCTCCCGCAAGTTCTGTAGGCTCTCTCGGCTCGCAAAGTACGCCAGCTGCAAGATGTCCCCGACAACCCTGAAGGCCAATTCAACCCTCAGCTTCAGCTTCCAAATCCATCGAAGGGCAAATGACAACGACCCCAAAATCACACCCCATGAGGACCCTAGAACTTTTTTGAATGAGACGCTCTTGTGTGAAGAACAGACTCGCAGCGTCAATACACCAATAGAAGATCCCCAAAACGTTTCCCAAAGGAAATTGGAGACCTTGCACTGGCTTTGGAACTAATTTTTCAGACTTTGGAACCTCCTGGATCCTGCATCTTTTTACCAAAAGGTGCGCAGTGACATGGACAAGTGCATGGACCAGGCGTCGGACTATACCGCCACTTGAGCCTAAGCCCCGAACAGAAGCCCTGAACCTGTGACACAGTGACAACCGTACCCCAACAGCTGACACATGGTGGCCGGCTGCCATGTGACCTTGATCCCTTACTGTGTTTACATCCGACAGTCGGGATTGTTTGTGACACAGCCTTGAGAGGGTGTGTCAGCAAGTCTAGGCTAGGGTCCCAGGGTTCATCCGGGACAGATCGAGAAGTGCAACTTTGTGGGTTTTCGACGTATGTTTAATTTGATGCATCGTGTCAGAGAATTATGCCGGTTTTCTTGTAGCAACCGTATTCGAAGCCCTCACTGGATGTTACAAGTCGGTCCAATGCTCACCTGGCCAGGGCATGATAACTATGATGTCTGAGAAGATGAAGATATCAGCAGATAGCGACGGTTATCGTTACCGCGCTGTTGGCCGTGCTTCCCTATCCCGGCCTAAGGTGTACATGGGTGACTGCCACCACTTGGACAACCAGAGGTTCGAGTTTGACTTACCACGCTACGCTGGGAGGACCATCCGCCTCCCGGCCGCATCCCTGGATTCGGTCCGGTGTTGGTTCTCGGCTTATCGCATTATGGTCATGACATGTCATGACGTCACTGGCGGGCGGTGACAGTGTTGGTGGTGGCCTTAGCCGCAGCAGCCCTTAGGTTTGTCATCATTTCCATGCGCTTTGGTGCTCTTGCACAATCTATGCCTTCTTCGCTGAGCTTGTTGTGATCGCACGCATTGGCATGTATGGCATAGGGCAGCATGTCGAGAAGACGTGGTTGAATTCAAAGCCTCTATTCCTCATTTTGTAGAGTACCTCGAGTCTTGTCTCGACGGCGCGCAGTGGGTATTGTATGCTGTCCGCGTACTGACCTAACGTCTTCAAAGGGTGACTTGACGCTTCAACGCCTGCACTTTGTGTGACGTGTGACATGATGCAACACATGTGCATCCATCGGCGCTTCGAGGGTTGACCCGTTCACATCCCGTTCACCCCAAGTCGAGCCTTCGACCAGACCCGGAGCCCAGGGGACCTGGCACAGGGTTTCTATTTTTTCACCCTTGTTCCCCCGGTGTCCTCCTCAAGATGTTCTTGTTTGTTGAGGCAATGAGAAAGGCAAGTGCCTGGATGTCTATGACAAGGTGCTATACGAGCACCTTGGCCGTCTTTCAGGTGTGAACACTTTCATGTTTGCTTCTTGCAGTTGTGAGGTGGCCAATTCCCCCCCACGGGCCCTTGAACAACTCAATTACCCTGACAAGACTGACAAGTAGACTCTAACTTGGAAGCCTCCAAATTACAATTTTAGGCGCGAACTCACATGAGCGGACAGCCAAATCCGCAATTACAGGCATTGGGCAGGTCTTGTAGACTATAGGAGACAATTGTTGATTTTTTCGGAACAACTGCTAGTTGTTGAGTTAGGAGCTTGCATCAGATGCAAACGGACATAAGAATCATTTTGCCTTTCCCTGGATTTGTGAATGCAATTGCGACACGACGCTCTCCACGTCAGGACCAGCACAGAAAGACCCTCTAACCCTGACTCCCTGCCATTCTCAGGTGCCGGTATGACCCGAACTCGAACCATAAGCACATGTGCCTGAAACATCCCTGGGACAACCACAGCCCCAGTCCACCAGACTACATGAAGCCGCAAAAGCAACCATTCATGCCATGCTCTTGTCGAGAAAGAAAGCATGCAAGAAACGATGCATCCCGATGTCACTGTGGCAGGCTTCTGGTCTTCTTGGTCCAGTATCAGGGATGAAGATTCACAGCGTAGTTGTTTTTCGTCGGTCGGAAACAAATTGCAAGGTACGATTGCCATGGGCGTGAGAACCAGCGGTTCATCCTCGCCGGGGAGGAGCTCAAGCTCGACAATAATGCAAATTTGCACCTGGGCTTGGTGCTCACTTAAACCTTCTAAGTAGCTGGACGGTCCTCTTACATCACAGAACCCATCCAAAGGGTATAATTTAATGAGTCTCGTCCCAACCACCAAGAGACATTGATCCATGCTCCCAAACTGTCAAACACCCAAGCAAGCCTGTACGCTTATGGTACTTGTGTAGGTTCCAAGTGACCCGAACTAGACCTCTGGAATTTCGTCCGAGCGTGGACCTGGCAGGTGTGTGGACTACGGCTCCCCATGGCTCGTGTGACTTGCAAGCAACATTTTGCGGGCCTTCCAAGCTTGCCCCAGCGTTCCAGCACACCGGGTTAATGTGGTTGATGTAGTCTTCCAAAGGAGGGACTTATTTGGCTCCTGCCCGGCTCTGGGCTTTTTTATGCATTTCAGTAACACTCTTTGTCGCCCGCCTCGCCCAGGAACGCAGAGGCTTTTAGGAGGGGAGGGGCGATTCTTCCTCTTCTTCTTCTTCTTCTTCTTCCATGTCAGCTAGAATCCGGACACGAGCCGTAAATTCTTGTACAGATCTCAGGTGTCAGGGTATCAAATCTCGAAGCCTTCGGATGGCTGCAGTGACAGGCTTCTGTCGTCCAGTCTTTGCGTGTCCTCGTTCGTGACCAAATACGTTCAGCCTCTGTCTCTCCACGCATGGTTTGGCAGATCGGGCTTCGGAACGAACATTCGTGAAAGCTTCTAGAGTTGTCGTCTAGACTGACGTGATGAAGGCATATGTGGGAATGCCACGATGGCAGCAACCAGAAGTTCTTCTTCGATGGTCCGAATATCCGAACCAGGAAAGATGACACCTGCATGGATGCAGCTGGGCCCATTCGAGAATTGGCCTTGCCATGCCGAAATGGGGATGCGAGCGGCATTCATACAGTCGTTGCATAGACAGGAAAATTGAAAAAGGGACATGCATATACTTAGGATGCCACTCAACCATTCCTACCCCGGGAGCTTTCGAGTTTTTCTTGAGATTCCGAGGTCCAACCGCAGAATGGCAACAAGATCTTCATGAGCAGCTGCCCCAACAGCGACAGTCTACAGTGGCACTTCGGCACGAACATCCGCAACAGCAGGCAGATCACCGTCGGTGGTCGTTGCTTGGTCAGGTGGTGGAATGATAATGATAATGTGGGGACAGGGAACTGCGAGGAGCAGCCCACACAGCTGTGGTACTTCAGCGGCGAGCAGTTGATGACTGAGCATGACGACAAATGCCTGGAAGAAGCGCTAGACACCGGCAACCTGCGCATGCGGGCCTGCAATGGCTGGGGCAACCAGAAGTTCTACTTCGATGGCGTATATCTGCGTATGAAGCACACAGACCGGTGTTTGGAAGCCTGGCTTTGCGACTTTTTAACACCGTGTCCTGGGGTTGCGTAAGGTGGGCCTTATAGGATCATGGGCCTTGGGCTTTCCAAGTTTTTGGGCATAGACGATTGGGCTTGTAGCTTGAGAGGTTGCGAGTAAGCATGGGATCCCCCCATGTTTGGCGCTGGTGGATCCCGGCCGCAACCCATGTTGTTTAAGCCGTTTGTGTCGTTCAAGTCTAAAGTGTCCGTGCCGGCAAGAGGGGTTTCGTAAACATGCCCTGGAAGTGAAGCAAAACACCGGTGCCTGGCGGGCTCTTGGCCCCCTAGCCCCCCCGTAAACAAAGAAGATGAGGGAGAGTGAGTCTGCAAGTGAGCGAGGTGTGCAATTGTTATGTGTGATCCAGGACTACAATGTGGAGACGCACAGTGCTTATGCCGGCAGCTGCCCGTATATGGACAACCACCTCTGGAAGTTTGGTCCTGGTGAAGCCTTGGTGCTCGCGGCTGCAAAGCGTATCACAAGGGAGAGGGCATTCAGTGGAGGACGGGGAGCTCTGAGTTGTGGAAATGTGAGGAAATGAGGGCTCTGAATATTTTGGTTGCAAGAGGTCTGACCAACGCCGCCAGAGAGCCCTGGCCAAACCATGCCAAACCAAGAGCTGACCCCAGCAAATTCGGCAGATCTCCATGGCTTTCAGGTGCTGCGAAAAGTTCCGCTGCCATCCAGCTTCGAGCATGGCCAGAGCCTTCGGGCCTCCTGCTCCCGGGCCTTAATGGCATCCGGCTGAACAGTATGGGGTCCCCAATGGTCCACACCTTGTTTCGTGCCGCTCCAGAGTTGTCAGAGTTCTCAAGGCTTTTAGAAGTTCTGGGACATTGGGAGTTGCCCTCTCTAGGATGGTAACTAGGATTCGGTTGTGGGCTCAACTGTAGGGCACTGTAGCAGCGCAGGCTGGTCAGAGCGCTTTACCTCCAGGCCACAGAACTTTGCTCCTGAGCTTGCATGGCTTTCCCTGACCCTGAACCCAAGCCGACATTTTGGAACCGCACCATTTGAAGGGGAGTCTCGGGTCGCGTGTTTATCATGTGTGTTCGAACCCGGTTCGGAACTTTTTGTTCTGAACGCGGGTTCGAACACCCCCAAATACCCCCAACAACCCATGCAGTCAAGCTGGACTTCCCACCCTAATCCGCCATGGGGGGGATCAGGTTCAATCTGGGTTCGACACTAATAGTTCAATAGTTTGGGTTCGAACCTGGGTTCTTAACCCAGGTTGAACCCAGGTTAATGTGTGACCCAATCCTGACGCATAAGCTCCGGATCACACCGGGTCGACAGCAAAGTGAGACCACCTTCGTCTTCAAGGTACAGGTTTCGGTTTCGACATATTTCGACTTCGATGTCTCCACGTCAAATCTCTGAAACCGCCAAGCTAGGCCAGCTAGGTGTAAGCTTTAAGCTCGGCTTTGAACATGGCTGGGTGAGAGGCCGATTCCACAAGCGAACTTAATCGCCTCAACTGAGTCGGCTTGAAAATGGGACGTGCAAGCTTTCCCTGTACAAACCTGGGATAGAGCCTTCGTCACCCAGGAGACCATGAGCTGTGTGGCGGCGGCCTGGGTGAACTCCCAGAACAAGCCAGGCCTGGTGTCTAGGCTTGCGTAGCCTTTTGGATCTTGATCTTGTGTGCTTGTTTTTGAACAGTTGCTTTGCGATGAACTAGCACCAGCAGCTGCTGGTGTCTTCTCCTTCCTGTGAGAGTAGCTGGATCTCAAATCAGTTTTCTTCAGCAAGCTCTAGACGCTAAACATTGCAATTGCCCACCACAGCTTGTAGTTCTTCATGAAGACGACGTTACGCATGTGTTTGCATGTGTTCGTTCAGCAAGCCCAGAATATCTCAGGTCGAGCCTTGCATCGGCTTTTTACGTAGTCTAGGCCTTCACTGTCGAGGGTTGCTTGCACATGGTCGGGACTGAAGTTCCAAGCAGGTTTAGTTAGAGTCAGTCCGCAGTCCGCTGGCTTCAGCTGTCCAATGTGGGACCTGTCCGGTAGCCTTGCGCAAGTCGCCCACGCTTGGCCCGATATTTTGACAGGGCATTTTGGGCTTTATTGGGTTCTTCTCTCTGCGATGGAAACCCGTTTAAAGAAGGAAGAAGATGTGAGCTCGGAACCTGAACCCAGAAAGTGGACAATGGGCTGAAAAATCTCTGAGATCCGTGCACAAAAGACTTTTCATGGGTTCTTGGACTAGATCATAGCGTATTTCCGTATAGTGCAGGGTACAAAGCACGTAGCGCAGGTCACATAGATCACCCATGTCAGCCCTTCAAGAGGTCTCGACGGCTTCGCCTGCACAGCCTGCATCCAGGCACGGTGACAAATCAGGGCTGTCATGGAGGTGTAGGTAGTATAGCTGCAATCTCTGGCTTTATCTTGAGGCCCTGTCTTGGCAGTAATTAATTCTCAAACTGATCCCATTGATTCTGAGAAGGCCATCCCGCCCACCCATCCCTCAGGTGGTTTCCAAACGGTATGCAGAACTCGACTCGAAGATCAAGCAGGAGAGCCGGGCACCCTATATGCATGCACTGTTGCCGCGACTGCCTTCTCTGTCAACGCCTGTAGGCCAGTCGCAGCAGCCAGTTTTGCTTCTGGTGGGCAACGGCAAAGTAGCAGGGTGTTTTCTGTTTTTGCGACCAAGGACGACTCAAATCCTGCCCGATATGGCATGAACATCGGTAGGAGTTTCTTTGGACACCGTCGAGCACGACCGATAGCCATGAATCCTTCATGGCAGCTCCATGGCTCGGGCGTTCGGTGGCTTCATTCGGTGGCTCAGTGGCTCACGCTAGGCGCAGACTTCCTTTTCTTGAGCCGCGGGCCACCGGCTGGAGCCACCGAGCGCACCGCCGAACCGGAGGTCAGTTTTGGGGCCCCTCCATGCGGGGGCCCTTTACAGACTTGTCGGGATTTCGTGAGTTCATAAGAGGTTTCCAGGGGGTGCAGAGTGCCGGGGTGCCTTTTGAAGGTTGGCCCGTAACAATCCGGTGCCCTGGTAGGGGAGGCTGCAGGTCCAAACATCATATGTCATATGTGTTAGTTTAGTTGCTATGGCCCATATATGGTACGGACGCCGTGAACGTATTGCCACTTGTCCAGGAGCTGTTCTTTGCCAGCAGGATGCAGTTTCAACTCACTGTCGTCGCTGGGTCGGATTTTGTGTTTGGGGCTTCAGGCTTCTAGTTCCGGGGCTGTTCCTTCTGGCTTGTGAAGAAACTTTGGGTTGTTCCTTCGGGCCTGTAAATAAATCGCTTCCCCTTTTACGAAAGACCACCCTAATAATGAAAGCACTTTCCGGAAAATCCTGCCGAAACCGACCCCGCCTTTTAAACCCTATTCCGAATTAGGGGTGGTTCAGGGCTCCCAAAACCCGCAAGCCAGCCAACATTCTGAAGAACCAACATCCTGAAGCTTTCCCTCCCTTCCCTCCCAGTCATTTCGCAGCACTTAGCTGTCTGTGAGCCTGGCTCTCCACAGCCTACCTCATCACTAAACCCTTTGGACCCCAAACATGACATTTGGATAAAAACCTCCCCCTAACAATAAAAACACAATTCGAGTTTCTATTGCGGGGGGGTGGGGGGGGTCCTCCCCGTTTAATATTAGGGGGAAGGGATTAGTTGCCCTGTAGGGCTCCATTAGGGTTGTCTGTGTAGAATTTTGGGCTTTGTGGTCCAGAGCGGATTGAAGAAAGTACGGCCCAGAGACGCGCAGACGGGGATGGTGAGTCCGGAAACGGAGCACACGTCAGCACCCGGAGACGACAACAAGTTAGGGCTTTTGCTGACATTTGACACACAACCGGCCCTGGTTTGTTGGATGCATGCACCCTCTCCTCCGGCACGCTAGACGCAGTATGAGGCACAGATCCTAATGAGAGGCTTTTACAATTTCCCGCAGTCCAGGGGACACTGTGGGTAGAGTGACGAAGATGCCAGCCACTGCTGCCAAGCAGAATCCTTAAGTGTCGGGACCCCAGGGCCAGTTGCAAGGGGGCCTTCTTCCTAAAACTGCAAACCTTCAATCACCCCAACCCCTTCTCAGCACTTTAGGACACTCGCACACGCCGTTCGGTGACGTCCTCTGGCACTTTCCGCGAAGGCACAGCATCAGTACATCGGGCGTTCTCGGATAAACTGCCATACTATGCGTCCATTAACCCACATATAGACACGGAAATCGCCAAGCGGCATGGATTTCATTGATTTTCAAAGGGGTTGCAGATGGAAAATAAACCGTAGATTGACTGAAGCATTGCGGTGGATCTAGGGTTGATAAGATGGGGAGACCATGCTGGCTCTACGGATGCCCTAGGGATTGCAACAAGCAAATCTGTAGATCAAAGGCTCGCAGTCTCGAGCACCTGTGATAAACGAGGAGCTTTCAACAACGTTGCTGGAGCCGCGCTGAACTTGATATCCTAGCAGTTGTAGAAGCCCTTCAGCAAATAGTTCAAGACAGAGCTGTTAGTGTCGAGGCGGCACCAGTGACACCTTCGTCGCGGAGGTGATGCCAGGAGCATCGGACTCTATGCGCCGATTCAGGCCTTTCTTTGTTGAGTCCGGAGGACTGTGGGCGTGTGTTTTTTCTCTCTCATACTTGATAACTATAGTTTAATTAAGTTACTTTTTCATTATTTATGTGAGTACATGCTATGTATGAAGTGCTACTACGCTTCATGCCACTCCTGATCAAATCAAAGCAGCTTTTCAGGTCAAGTGAGTATCCAAGTGATTTGGGCTATGGCAAGCTATCCAGGTGAGTCTATGCCTGGCTTAGTTCGTGAACTAGCAGGACAAGACGGAGCACTCACTTTCGATGAGGCTGTTGGTCAAGTAGCAGGTCAAAAATTTCAAAGGACCAGAGACACGACCCATCAAGTGTGATCGTCCTGTGGGAACAGTGTCGGTCCCCCCTCCCAACGACCTACCCTTGTTTCGGCTTTTCTTATCTTAGTATAGTCAGAACAACGAATCCTAAAATCGCATATTTGAGCACCGGGAAATGAAGGACAGCTATTGGGACAATTGGGACGCCCACCTGACAGGCCCCGAGAAGCCAGCATTGGGCTAATCTATGTTTTGAATCTTGAGAGGACGATGCTGGCTTTGTAGTTTGTATGCTAGAGTTTATCTGGGTAATTCGTTCTTTCGAAGGGCAAATAATGTAGTGTTATTAGATAACTGTAGTGTTACAAAGCAAAGTATTCATCAAATACCATACGGAAAGCCACTGAAGTACTTTGTTTTTACGCATGAATGAAATATTCAATGTATACTAGGCAATATATTCGCCCTATGCGAGTTTAACTACTGGAGCACTTAGTATATAGCTGAATATTGACTAAATGAATACAGCTCAAAAGGCTATTTTTGTACAAGTAAAGTACGCACTAGACACTAATTGAAATAGACGCGGCTTGAGTTTCATAAAAATGAAACCAATGCTACTGAAGTACTAGTTAAAGACTACTTATGCACGATGCATGAAAAGAGGTAGGCTTTAAAATGCACAATTCTCATAGTAAAGTAGTTGTTGCCATAGCACAAGTAAATTCACAACCGCAAAAAAGTTTGCTTTTTGGGGCTCTTAAGTCTGTCTAGATAAAAAAACAACTTTTTAAGCAAACAACTCTAGGCAACAAACTTTTTTCTAGACAAAATTGTTTCTTCTAGTCCAAATTTTCGGTAAGCGCAAGATTCATTGAATATACACAGAATATGACATAATGCTCAGTAAATGGTACTTGACTACAGAAAACTAGTTCAATTACGTACTAATGAAATACTGTTTATATACTATGCTTAGACAAGTACAGTTTACTTTAGAAAAGCCTTGAAAAGGACAAATTTCTAAGAACCATATAATCCACCCAGTAAAGGCCATAGTACTAAGCATGGGGATGCGGGGTTTGGGGGCAGAACCAAGTAACCTATTCATAAAATCATTAAACACAGTACTTTTTATACACGATGACTAGAAAAGTACAAAATTTTAGAAAAGCGTAAACAAGCACAATTTTCTTGGAAGGGGGGGCTCAGGGAGGAAAGGCAGTACGGAAAAGCACAAAAAAGCCACAAACGCACAAAACACACAGAAAGCTACACGAAAAACCAAAAAGAACAAAAAACAACATAAAAGCCAAATTTGTTCTCACGGAAAACCAAAAAAATCAAAAAACAAAAAAAAACAGTATTCAGGGCTCTCCACCAAATCCGTACGGAAAACCAAAAAAAAAAAAAAAAAAAACCAAAAAAGCCAAAAGACGCAAACCAAGAAAAACAATTTTCAGGGATTCTTTGAAATTAGGCAATCTGCTGGAGGAGTCCTGATACTGGTTTTTTTGATGCTCTTGTTTTTTTGTTTTTTTTTAGTTTTGGTTTTCCGTACGGATTTTCCGTATGGATTTGGTGGAGAGTCCTGAAATATTGTGTATGTTTTTTTTGTTTTCCGTGTGAATTTTGTGGAGGGTCCTTCAGAGTATTGTTTTTCCTGGAGTCTTTTTGTTCTTCAACAGCGAAACAAGGCCGAGAAAGTGCACGCCCACAGTCCCACTTTTTTTTGGGAGGGGGGGGGGGGCGGGTCACTTGTTGTAGTCACTATGTCTACATAGGAATATACATGAAAATAAATAAATAAATAAAAATATATATATATATATAGTTACTTATTTATTTGTTTATTTATTTATATGTTTGGTGTAGCAGTGAGAACAGTAAGTAAGACACCCCCCAAAGCCTTTGCGGAAATGTTTAGCAGACGGTGGCCTCCCAAGTGCCTTTTGCAGGTCTCTGACGATGCCAGGCACGGTGTTGCGCGGTGTGTTATCCGTATAGCAACTTGCTCAGACCCCCGAACTTGCCCGGGTGTAGGCATTGAAAAGGGTGACTTTGATGTTTATTCTCCACCCTCGTTGCCTTTTGTTCACGGCCTGCGTTCTAACCGGACTGGAAATCGCAAATCTGCAGCCCTGACTCGTGCATCTCCTGAAGCGTATTCACCCCGCACAGCTTACACCTGGAGGCCAGTGCCTGGAAGCTACGGCCGGGCAGAAGGGGCTCCAAGGAGTCACATGCGCCCAAGAGGCTGAGGCAGAGTCTTGGCCGCGGAGTGTTCCTTTGTCGCGGCATGAGAAAGTTCCAGTGTCACACGTCCTTTTTCTACCCTCGCCCAATTGCCTGCAGTCACTTGAGGCCCGGGGCGCACGTTTCGTTTCCCCGAATCAGTGCTTAACGTTCTTGCTTGCGGTTTGGGTGCCGGCACGTGTCTTTAAAAGCGAAGATCAGCCATTTTCTGGCAGAGCTCAAAGTCATGTTGGGATGCAGCTGGAGGCATAGATGTTTGCTGTTTCCTGGCTTCTTCGTTTGCTTACGGTTGAGTAAGGCGTGCGCTATCGGGCCCCGTTTTTTTTTGCTTAGCCCTGGCTGTAAGGGTTTCCACAGCCACGGTTAATTTGTACAAGAGGCAGACCGCCAGACGGTCGGACGGTCAGACGGTCGGACGGTCAGACGGTCGGATGGTCAGACGGTCGGACGGTCAGACGATCGCACGGTCAGACGTTCGGACGGTCAGACGGTCGGACGGTCAGAGTCGCACGGTCAGACGCTCGGACGGTCAGATGCTTGGACGGTCAGACGGTCGAACGGTCAGATGGTCGAACAGTCAGCTGCTTAGGCGGGTCAGATGGTCGCGCGGTCAAAGCATCTGAGACTTCTTTGAAACCCATCATGCGGGCACTATGTTTGCAAATGGGGGGGCGGGGGGCGCTCCCCCCCAACCCCCCCGCTGTTTTAATCCGTGCAAGCTTTGTTTCAAAGCACATGAATCGCTTTGACACCCTCCGCTTTTAAAGCTGTGAAACCCAGCACGCGAGCATTGAGTTTCGCCCTGTTTTCCCCGTTCTTCCGCGGCAAGCTTGTTTCAAAGCATACGAACGGTTCCAAAGCATACGAACGATTGAAACTCAGGATGCGAGCATTGTGTTTGCCAATGGGGGGGGCTGCGCCCCCCCCCAACCCCCCCCCGCTTCCCCCCCAACCCCCCGTCTTTATAAGCCATGCAAGCTCAAAATAGTGTGAGTCCTAAGAAAAAATGGAGGGAATGGAGGTTTGCATAGGAAAAACCAAGAAATTGCACCAATTCCCATGAAAATATAGAGGGAATGGAGATTTTCCTAGGAAAGCCAAGAAAACCGACCAAAACAAGGTTCAATTCAGCACAAAAAAAGAACTCCCAAAAAATGTTCCACCCTTAAACCTTTTTGGAGTCGTGCAAAGCCTGCTTCACAAAGCATAAGCAGCGGTTGGCTTACTGGTTCTCGGTTTCATTCCGTAGATTTTTCCACAAAGCATATGAGTCATTTGAAACCCATCATGAGAGCAGCAGGGGAAGGGGGGGGGGGGCTGCGACCCCTTAACCCGCCCCCCCCCCCCCCCCCCCCCGCTTTTTGAAGCCCTGGCCTCCCTCAACCCCCCTGCCGCTTGAAGCCGTGCAAGCTTTCTTCGCAAGGCATATGAGTCTTTTTGAAACCCATCATGTGAGCATTGTATGTGCAAATGGGGGTCGCCCCCCAGCCCCTCGGCTTATGAAAGTACGGTGCAACCAGAAGCTTTCCATGGGGGGGGGGGGGGGGGGGGGCTGTAACCCCCCCAATGCCGCTCGCCCCGCTTTTTTGTTTAAGCCGTGCAAGAGCCGCACAAGCTTGCTTCACTAAGCCGCTGAGCATATTATGAGTCTTTTTGAAACCCATCATCATGCGAGCATGCTTTTTGCAAATAGCCCCCCCCCCCAATCCCCCACTTGTTTTAGCTGCGCAAACTTGCCTCACAAAGCACACGGGTCTTTTCAAAGCCCATCATGAGAGCATTGTGTGCGAAAATGGGGGGGGGGGGCTGCGGCCCCCCAGCTCGCATAAGGCATGGACGTTCGTCACAGAGGGCCTGAGTCACAAACTCCCGCAGCCACGGCTAAGCAAAAAAAAACGCTCCTGCGAAGGCCGGCGGTGTTTGTTTTTTGCTTAGCCCTATAGCTGCAAGGGAGCCCCACAGCCACGGCTAAGCAAAAACAAAACGCTCCTGCCAAGGCCGGCGGTGTTTGTTTTTTGATCAGCCCTGGCCGAGAGAGACAGCCACGGCTAAGCAAAAAGTACCACGAACACTTGCACAGCCACGGCTAAGCAAAAAAACGCTTCCGCCGTGCACTATCGTTTCCTTTCATGTCCAACCTTGTGCAACGTGCGTGGTGCATGGCCAGCGGTCGGGCTTTTCTGTTGGCACTGCGAACTATGCGTCTGCCATTAGGGATCAAAGCTGAGGTCTTGCGTTAGCCTTTTGCAACCTCAAACCTTGTGAGAGGGTTGTAAGGCAACCCTGTGTGAGATTCCTGTTCTTTCATTGCACATACGTGTAAGACTCGTGTAAGCTTTACCGTAAAGTCTGGGAAACTGTGCTACCAGCGTCCCCAAAGCAGGGACCCAGACTCCCAAAGACCTCCGAATGAGGGCCAGATGCTGTCAGCAGATGAGTTGGGGGAGCTGCTCTGGAACGAGCTGCCCGGATAAATGGAAGTGGATTGGTCAGAAAGCTCAATCAGAACACAGTCTCATGATGTTGAAAGATCAGTTGCGTTCACCTGCGTGCCCGGCAAAAGCACTGAGAGGTTGTACAAGGTTTTTTTTTTCACTTGGGGGGTTGAGCAAAGGATGTGCTGAGCCATCATGAAGAGTATACATTTGAGTGCATATAGGGTAGGACACAGAGCCTCTCTTGATGAGTGTCTTGGCAATTTTGTTTTCCTAGGCCCCAACTACAGGCAGAGAGGGAGGTCGAAGCCACCGCTTCGCAGAAACCTACAAGAAAGCAAAAAAACAGATGGAGCTAAGCAGCTAGATTGGCAGCTAGATGCTACTTCCCAAGCTCGCATGTCGGCGAGAGAAGATCAGAGCCGGACCAGAGCAAAATCGTGGCAACTACACTGTTCAGCCCAACTTGCAAGAGGCTTCCCCGCCATTCCCAACCATACCAGCTAACTGCTGGCCCTTAGATCCTGAGGTTCAAGGCGAGCGCCAACATTCCCTCCAGACAAGCGAAGCCTCTCCTCGACCGTGGTGTCTTCGCCGCAAGTTCGACTGGTTGGGGCGGTTCTTCTGGGCTGATTCACGTTCGAGCTTTTGGGGGTCAACAGTGCGGGAGTTGAGGGGTTCAGATGCTCGGGCTTTGGAGTTTGGAGGCTGGATTCTGGATTCGAAAGCATTTTCGCCTCAACATAGTTATCATGTGCAAGCGTCCTGATGCCAGCACACCACAATCATCGCCTGAACGAGTTTGCACCACTCCAGCCTATCAGCAAGCGCGCCCCGGGATCGGCGAATATGATGAAAGAACTTGGTGAAGAAGAGGTCCTTATTTTCTTCATAACGACTTTCAGTGTACAAAACTTCGGGGTAAAACGATGAATCAAGAGACGCTGCAATCCTCAAATATTGCAATACATTGTGGTTCTCTGCCGGCCAGTCTCCTCAGCAAAATCCACAAGACTCGGTTGCATGAAGTTGAACCTAGAGGAATGGAAGGTTTACAAGTCGCCCTTCCAAGGAAACCCAGAATGCAGCCTGTCTCATTACGTTCCACAGTTCACTGTTCTCTCTTTCACACCAGAAATTGCCGTCTGTTGCAAACATTCTCCTCAAGGCACCGGCCCCACGACGCTCCGCAGCTTCCAGCTAGACGCATCATGCGGCGAGCATGCCATGGTGCCCTGGCTTGGCTCACAAGAGTTCTGAAGGTTTTCTGAAGGTTGTCGTCCAACTTCCTCCTCCCTTCCTCCGTCCCCTCCTGCCCAGTAACAGCGTCTCTTTGGCTAGCCTTCCTATCCCAACCTGATCATGTACCGCCAGCCGGCACGTGAACCCCAGCTGGCTTTGAGGTGGTGACTTGAAGTCATGTTGTGTTCCCTGTTCCTATTCAGGATCTTTTGGAATCAGGCATATTCCGGCAAAAAAATCCCAGATCTCATGTTATTGTTGCTTTGCTGGGCCTCGTCCAGGGCTCAGCTCATCTGGGACAGTGGTGGAGCCCAACAGTGCGACAGCCCCTAATTCCCATAATTGACGTTATTTGCTTCGTGTTACCAATCTGAAGCCCTTCCTGAAAGCACCGGACCTCAGTGGGGGAGCCCAGGCGTCAATTGACCTCAGCCACACCCCCAACTCGCTCGGAATGCGACTTGTCGATTCTTGTTTTGTGTGGAGCAAGACGCCGGATGACCAGTAGAACTTTGGTGGCTATTCATGACAGTTCATGAGGTAGGTTCACAGAACCGAGGTGTTTCGTGGGCCAAGGGGCGAAAGCAGAAACCCCTGCTAAACACCCTGGCCCATGAGGTCTGCGACCTGCACAGCTGCCTCCACCTATGGCGATGCGGTGCATCACGCCGCGGGGGCTTAAGATTCTAGATTCACAAGGCCCAAGGCCTTATGATGGGACTTCCATTCCCCCTTTTGCCACCTTAACTCTGGTTGGAGGACGCACGTAACCCTCAGAAGGGTTCGTCGGGCAAGGGTTAACCGCGCGTTGTGCTCCGGTTTCGTGCGCTCGACGCAAAAAGTTCACAGAGGATAGGTCACACAACAGCAACTTGGGCCAACGAATGCTGGAAGAGAGATGCTTTGAAGACAGTTGGTCTCAAAGTCGTGCCATTGCACAAAATGCTTTGAGCAATCCCCTGCCTCCCAATAAAGGTGCCCTGCATGGCTCGGGCCAACTGGGGTTGGTGTCCGGGAGGAGGCAGTGGAGAAGTGCAATGGGGGAAATCGTGTGCAGCGTTTGTCCTCCTTGTGGACCAACAACCTCCACAATGTTTTCGTCGGCCTGGCAAGGCGGCAGTGCGCGTCCTGGCTTGCAAAAACAGCCAACGTCTGCAGAAGTCGTCACAAGCTGCAGCACCGCAGGCATGACTGCTAGAAAGGCTTTGCCAAAACTGAGAGTTTGCATGGTGACTGCGACCAGCATGGTTATCAATGCTTGGCATGCTGCTGAACAATTCTGGATTTTTCGCACAGTATCTACACACATAAGGAAGAGTTCGTCTCAATCGAATATTCCTAACAAACGAAGTATACACTAACTATATCTACAAAACGAACGGAGAGTCCTTCTCGGCTTCAGGCATTCCAATGACAAGAAGTTGTTCGGGCAACTTCTGCAATATGATTGAAACAGAGCAACCAACAACAAAAAAACAAAACCTGTAGAACATGTGCTTGGGGCGAGGTTGGAACCAGCCTTTTCGAATGTCATCGTGTCTTTTTCTTCCAGAGTCATGCTGCAATCCAATCGGGGAGTCTACTCTGAAACTCCGCTCTGAATGCGCTTGTACAGAAGCAGGTAAGCAACGATTCCATCTTGGGCTCTCTGCCGGCTTGTGTCTTACGGATGCAAGTGTGATGCTCCTCGGAGACTTTGGGGCCTTTGGAGGGCTCGTGATGGGTGAGGCTGTCTAAACCTTCGGCCCCATGAAGAGTCGCAGGCCCTGAGCCTTGAAAGGAGTGGCCATGGCTTCGAAGTCACAGAATACTGAAGCCCTGACCTCTCAGCGGAGTGCAGACTCTGGTGCAGATGTCCAATCAATGAAATTCGACTCGAAGGAGCTCACCGAAAGGCAGAATTTTTGCGACAAGTGATACAGCCGACTGAAAAGTGCGACCGGCAAGCCTAGGAGAAGCGTTGATTTAGCTCCCCGTGGGCATTGGCAAAGCACAGCCCTGGATGCGCTATGATGCGTGTTCCAATTGGCGGTGACAGACCCGCATAATCCCGCATAGCTCATACGATCACGACCAACGTTTTGTCATGCCATGACCGATCCGCGCGTGCGCTAAGCGGTTGGTCGTGGCACGGTTGGGGTTGGAATTGGTGGAGTTGGTGGGAGCACACATGTTCCAGGCGGGCGAGTACACAGGCGGGTGTAGTGCCTCAGGTGCAGGAAGAGCAGTCCGTCCTGGATCCTGACCTCAAGGGTTTGCCTCTTCAGCCCTGCGGAAGCCTCCATGTTCCTCAAAGCCAGCTCCCAATTGTGAGGGTGGTGCAAACAGACAAACCTAAGAAATGCTTGGAAAGAAGCCTCACTGAACCCCAAGTGTGTTTGTCTGTGGGTCCGTGGGTCCGTGGGTCAAACCTGGCTCTCTCTGGGCCTTTCTGGGTCTGTCTGGGTCTCTCTGTGTCTTTCTGGATCTGTCTGGGTCTGCGTCTTTGGGTCTGTGGGGCCTGGGAAACCATATTCAAAACGTGCAGGAGGTTCCATTTTCAAGTGAAGGGACGTTTTTGCTCTGTATGCAGTTGGATTCGCCATATACCCTATGAAGCCTTCAAAGCCAGTTTCCTGAGGTTCAAGACTTCGACATTTGCAATACTGCGAAAATGTCCTCCAAGTTGGATAGGGAAACCTTACACAACACTCCAGACTACTCATAGCTCGTCATCATGATCCTTGCATACTCCCTGTGGAGTACCACCTTAGAGGGAAGGGTTTGACATGTTGCCAATCCCTTACGACAAAGCCTCAAACCCTCAAGCCCCCCCACAACCAAGCTCCAAACCCAGACCATCCCTGTCCCGGGCGCGGTCACGATTACCAGCGTGAGCGAAGGAACCTGCATGAGCACCTTCGGAGATCCTTAAAGGTTTAAGGATCGAGGGCCAAGGCTTCAAGTCTGAGCAGGCTTCAGTGGCTCTGTGTTGCCGGTCCGTTGTTGATGATGCAGTAGCTCGATACCATTAGCTTTCTTGGGCAATCCAAAACATCATCACGGGGTGCTGGTGATGATCATCATTGTGCGTGCGGACATGCACGCTGACATGCTCGAAGGAAACTATCTATCGGCACCAAGAAAAACCCTCCATACGCCCCGCCAAACCCTAAGCCCTTAAAGCCCTGGCGACCGTAAGAAAGGTTTAGCCTCGTTCTTTCCTTGAAACATTCCAAAGGCTTCGCAGTGAGAGATACGGCCTTTTTGGGTGTCGGTCAGGTTGGTGCCGGTTACAGTTCCACAGAAGGTAGGCGGTTGCTACAAGACTCTTGCCGACATCTTGTGCAATGTTAATTGTAAACGCTTTGCGGGTGCCGACTCGGCAGCCCGGCCGCTAAACAATTTAAGCCAAAGGACCTGCACGTCAGCTCACAATTTCCCGTCCGCACTGCCGGGCTGCAGATGCGGAATGCCTGCGGGTGCAGGATAAAGCCAGAGAGCATCCGACCCGAAAACGCGAAAATTCAGAACTCTGAGCCGTAACGTCCCCTAAAGCCAGATCAATTGCAACTAGGCATCCACCACATCACTCCGTGGCTCCTCATCTTGAAGTCCAACCGTTTTTGCCTGGACGCCTCCCATAAGGCCGGAAGGCCGCGCGGCTGAGGGGCCCAAGGTTGGATTCGTCTGGATTTGGAGATGCCATGCCTTAGTTTCCTCCGTTTGATTTCTCGTACTCGTGCTCCCACTTGTTGCTGTTGCTGCTGCTGCTGCTGCTGCTGCTGCTGCTGCTGCTGCTGCTGCTGCTGCTGCAACGACACATCCCGCTTTGTGACCATGAGCAATGAGCAAGGCAAGCAGCTTAACGAATGCCGGAACTGAAGTTCGTACTTGTTGGCCTCTGGGGTGTTCCCACTGTGTTCCACTGTGTTCCACTCCAGCTGCCGAGGAATGTCCACATGCACAAAGACTGCCACGAGCTCCCTAATCAGCGGTGGTACATGCTGGATGGCAACCTCGTGAACCTTCAAGATGGCAAGTGCTTGGACTACAACCTTGAGACGAACAATGTGTACATGCAAGAGTGCCACGACGGACGAAACCAGAAGTGGTATTTTGAAGATGACACTGCATACATTCGTACTGAGGAGGACCACAAATGCTTGAGTATGGAACTGAATGGGCATACGGATAATATCAACGTTATCATGACCGACTGCGCAGACGTGGACTTTCGGAAGTTTGAGTTTCGGCTGCAGTAGGGCAGGGAAGCTTCAGTGCTTTTTAGTTCTGGCGCCGGAAATTTGCAATGACATTGGTTGGTCAAAAATGGTTTGATATGCGCGTGTGAAGAAAGGCTTTCATCATGTCTTTAGGCCCACGCTCCAAGTACTTGCAAGGCTATGTAGCTCCGTTGCTGCTTTTTTAGGCAGGCATGTTCCATATCCAGCACGCACCGTTTGTGGCTGTCTCTCTAACGTGTGTTTAGCTTGTTTAGTGAGTGTCTGCAGTGCATACATTCGAAGGCAGGCATAGATTCAAACGCTGGCGTGCTGTCCCTGACTCCCTCTCCCTCTCCCTCTCTCTCTGTGATAGCGTCGTGTTCCATATGTCCAGGGCAGGGCGTGCAGCGACATTCCCATACTTCAGTTTGATCACAAAAGCTCCTACTCTCGGCTCCTGGGTCGCCATTCAAAACGAAGAGCTATTGCCTGTGGGTACTGTCAAACGTGCCATGCAACCTTGCCGTTTCGAGTACCCATGGTCCAACTGCTGACATCCGTAGCGATTTCTGTCTTTCCCACGGTCTGCGTCTTCGTCTCTCCGTCTCTGCCTATCTTTCGCTCTCATATGTGATGCTTGCACGTATGAAGTGATCTGATCAGGGCACGCTGCTAAATTTCAAAACTCAAGGGAAAAAAGGGTTGAGAAACATCGGTGCGGGAAAATAAGTTTCGCAGTAGGGGCCTAAAGTCGAGACCTTCGAATCATGGCTTTGTGCGATTTCCAGCTAAATAGCTCATCGACTTGCTCATGACGCTGGGAGGGGCTGCAATCCAACAGTCTTTCTCATGGGTGTACGCTGGCTCGCAAAACTATGGGGTCAAAAATCTTGGGGACATGTCGCGACTGCTGTGTATGTCCCATGTTGTTGAAGGAGCAAGCCGGACAAGCAACAACATAGTATATTTTGCTCCGAAGGTCCGAAAGCAGGGGTCCGTTCGAGGCACTATGGCATCACTATGGCCAATGTTTTGCAGTTTGATCTCTTTGCGATGTTTGGGGACACAGGATTGCAGGCATAGGGGACGATAGCTCGGAATTCGTCTTACTGCTTCATGGGTGCGTGGTGGGCGGTGCACGGATGAGAGGCTAATGTACTACGGCCTTAAAAAAAACTCGCAAAAACGAAATTGTTAGGTGCATGTGTTCATTTTGATCCGGCCTGGCAAAACAAAAATTCCCGCCAGAATTTTTCTGAAAAAAGAATCCCGGGATTTTTTTTGAGCCGCTCTCGCATTCAGGAAAACAGCTCCAGAAACAAGAAATCCAGGCATACACGAAAAAAACTTGAAGAAAAACTCGCCTGACCCGGGACATTTTCTTCAGGATTCCAGCCCCCAAGCGGGAATTTAAAGAAAAAAACCTGAGTTTCCTGAATGCGAGAGCGGCTCAAAAAGGAATTCCCGGGAATTTTTGCAAACAATTCTGGCGGGAATTTTTTTTTGCCGGGCCGGGTCAAAATGAACACATGCACCTAACAATTCTTTTTGCGAGCTGTTTTTTTAAAGAAAATTCTGGCGGGGAAGTGTTTTTTCGAGCCCAGATCCTCCTCGTTGCCTAAACTCTCCGGGCGCCGTGGGGACACCCAATATACATGAGACTGCTGCGCTGAACCCTTTTTTGGATTCTCGTAGGAGCATAAAGACTAATTGAGTAGCACCGTGCGTTCCATCTTGGAGGCAGGTGCGAGGACTTAGGGTTCAGTTTGCACAAGCAAAATTGTTCTTCAAATCTGTGAGTGAGGGGGGCGGGGTAGGGCTTTGTTAGGCACATGTCGCAGGAGATGGCTGCGCCAGAGAGGGCGGTCCTGCAGTTTTGACATTCTTTTTTCCAGCCTGCTAAGCATGTGCCATTCGTGTTTGTAACGTTACAGCCTACAGTCGTTGTCAACAGGTTTTTCAAGATGTCGCTCAACCCCCCAGCTTAATGTCATTGTCGAAACTTTTCTCCCGTGACTTTTGAAATTTAGCAGGGCACGCCCACGACCCTGCACAAAACTTAAACCCGCAAGGTTGCAAGATGGAACGTAAATGTTTTCCTATGGTGCTCTACTCCCTTTGCATGCTTAACCCAGTGAGGAGCGACATTGAATATGTGTGCATTGAGCAACATGCCAAGCATAAAGACGACAGCTTGAGAAACATACACAAAACTTAGGGTCGAAGTAGGCCCGTTGTAACATTGAGCTATTTGAGCTCATTGGCCTGTACGCCGAAATCGTACGTGAGTACCCGTTGGATCGGTTCTCATTCTTCTCGCCTGGTTCTTCTAGGCAGAGAAGCCAATCGGGGAGGCTAACAATAACCGAGAGTCACCCCACCGATGTGACCCAGGCGGCAAGGTTCCAACCGCGTTGGTCGTTAAAACTTCCTGCACCAACTCTGTGCATCAACTAGTTCTTCTTCAATACTTGAATTTCTTTGTCCGTCGGAGCCTTGTGCTGTATGCATGCTGCAAAGTCTGGAGACCACCCTTCGAAAGCCAGCGCCAATTGCAGTTAGGGGGGCTTAGGATCAGGGTCACCCTAACCTCAGGAGCCGTGGGCGGCTCCCCATGCATCTTCTGAAGAAAGGATCCATCACGCACATCCTAATTTCCCCGGGCCTGTTGCCTCACCGCACGATCAACTGACTCAGTCTTTTTGCGCAGGCAAAAGGTCCCGAAGTTTCAAAAGCCCGAACGTGCAAGAGAAATACGTCCAAAAAAACTTACGCTTTCGGACTTGTCGACTTTTGGATGTTTTACCGTGGGTTGCGGGTTTCTTGGCTCTCCATTTCACATGCAGAGGACGGCAGAGAATCCTGCAGGGTAGCTTGCACCTCTGCAGCATCCCCAACACCGTAATTTTCGGCCGCAGAGTACGGCAGTGCTAATCCCACATGATCCGGTGCCCATAAGATGGGCTTTCAGCTGATGGTGAGCATCCTCTGAGTCCGCGAAGCACTTGATCGCCTTCTGTAGACTATTCCCCACCCACCGCTATACCGTACACAATTACACCCCCCCAAACCGTCACACAGTCTTGAATAGCCCGACAAACTTGACTTAACGGAAGGGGGGCCCAGCTCAATGCCACAAAATCCCTAACACGACACACCGTCATGTTGCAGCATTCCATGTTCATACTGGAGGGTGCATGCAATTGGCCTTGGACCCATCTGCATGCATAGCCTAAGTGTAAGATTCAGAGGAAAGAAAACCGCTTCACGACCACGCCTTCACAGCCGGCCTCCACCTGGAATGCAGTGACGCCTGGCTTGTCGAGCACAATTTCTTGTACAGGGTTTTGCCAGACGGGAGAAAGGCCCTCCCCCCACCCCTCCCACCCCTCCCACCCCTCCCACCCCTCCCACCCCTCCCACCCCTCCCACCCCTCCCACCCCTCCCACCCCTCCCACCCCTCCCACCCCTCCCACCCCTCCCACCCCCTCCCTCTTCCCCCTCTTCCCGCCAAACACACCAACAAAGAAGAGGAGTCCGAGTTGGAGAAGATCACGGTGGAGCCTTTCTCCAGTGAGGGCTTCGTTCTCAGGCCTTTGGGCTGGGTGCTGGTTTGGGACAGACGGTTGCGCTTGACTGAACCTATAAGTATCGGGGCTGGGGTTGTGGCAGGCTTTGTGAAGTCTGCGACTTTCTGAGGGGGAAATATCCGGGCACAAATCGGCGATGTTGTGGTTCATCCTTGGCCCTAAGCCGCCGCAAGTTTGGGAGCCAGCAGGTGTTGTGGCAGTCCCAAAGCTTGATCCCCGAACCTGCTCTACCATTCAGTATCATCCTTAGCCTGCACTACAAGTGGCCAACTCCAGGAGCAGTGCAAGCACGCTTCAAAGCCAACTTCGCTGGGACCCCGCCCAGAAGCCGCGGCGCCCAGATCGTGTGAGGTGGACAGTCGAGTAGACGATGTGTGTTTCTCGAGAAGTTGGGAGGGAGGGAGGGAGGGAGGGAGGGAGAGAGAGAGAGAGACTTCAGTTGCAACATGCGCCGGCACCTCGACTGACTTAACCCACACACTTGCCGTAGCACACAGTCACAACACTGCCAAGCTGGCTACAGGGAGGGACAAACCTTTTCACTGCATCTCTTCGGGTGTTGCGGCGAGTACTACCTGCAGAGGAAGGAAGGAAGAGAGAGAGAGAGAGAGAGAGAGTGGTACCCGATGGGGACCGATAACGAACAAGGGTGCTCGCACAGATATGGCGGATGGCGGGGGTCGATATCAGGCTCCCGTCAGGTGGCGCTGCTGCGGTCAACACGATCGCCGCATGAGTGGTAGAGCCGAGCGGACGCGGGACCGGGGCGCGCTTCAGCGCGGGGGGGTTACCCCCATGCCCCAAAGAAAGAAAGAAAGAAAGAAAGCGAGAGCGAGAGCGGGACCGAGAGCGAGAGCGAAAGCGAAATAAAAATGAAACATGGGCAGTCCACCGCCTCACGTTTTGGGGAATATTTGTGGTTTGGGGATTCAGGGGATCTTCGCCAGGAGGTTGGGAAAGGCATTTCGTGGTGAGATGAGTTCGGGGTCGAGGCGCCAATCCACGTCCCCACAAATTCAATAGCTTCTGAGGTACTTCTGGATCACAATATGCCTCGGTGTTTGCATTGCCCCTCTCTGTTCCTCCGGCATCTCTTGCCAAACTTACCTAAATTTTTCTCTGTCCGCTCTGCAGTAATCTCTGCCTCGCTTCTCTGTCCTGTCCCTTGTCCTTTTTTGAATCTCTCTCTGTCTCTCTCTCTCTCTCTCTCTCTTTCTCTTCTTGTTCTTCTGCCGGGCAGGGAGGACCCTCACCCCGCACACAATGCACACCTGGGTTGCACCCTCGAATCTTGGCAAGCTGGCCGAAAAGACGGGCCGAAGATGGCTTGCACCTCAATTTCGCACAACCGTCTCTGCATGACGATCTTCCGCCTTTGATGCACGTTTCCCTTTCACCACACCGGACTCCCCCAGCTCCCAAGCCCGTTTTTCCCGATTCCACTGCTCGTGGCATGGTGCTTTCTGCATACGCCAGCATAATGATCCTAAGTAGCCTGAACCATCTGTCGTACCCACTTATCCACCCGGCCCCAGGAAGATCGTGAATATCCACACCAGCAAGTGTCTCTCAGCCGGGGGGCGTGGCCGCGTGGAGGAGGTGGGCAGTCGGTCTCTTTCTGTTTGGGTGGTCAGGGAGAAGTGTAAACGTTCTATCAGTTGCTGAGCCCCAAGCATGAGATCACCGGAGTTCAAGGCCTTGGCCTCTCGGCCGAATAGCCAGACCTTGACGTCTTGACATATCAACGCCCCTTTCAAGTTTCCCTTCTCAGAATCCGGGTGGGCTTGTAGAGGACCATGCGGATCCCACAGAAACATACCCTGCAGAGATGGAAGGAATCGTGGACCTGTTGCAGGACAGACATAGATCCTGATAGTTCCTGGCAGTGATTTATCACGGCTCAGTCAGTGAAGCAAATTCTTTGCAAACCGAGTCGCTCAGCACAGGGACAAAGCGCACACCAGTGCGGAATCTTCCCTACACCCGTCAGCTTCCTCTGTTTGCTTACACTCACCCGCCCAGGTGGCCTGCCAAGAAAGCACCTGGGCCAAAGGGCTGCCGCAAATGTTGTATACGCAGTAGTACTTGGAGGTTCATGGTACTTAGTAACCCAATCATAACTGTACTTATAACCCGATCATAACCCCGTCCTAAGTACCCTGAACCTCCAAGTCTGGTCTCATGATCGTGAGAATCCTAACGCTGCCTGAGAGGCATGGAGCAAGAGTGGACCATTTCCCATGGCCTCCAGCGCCTCGTGGAAGCCCCGCTTGCCTGCCCAGGGGATCAGGCCGGCCACTGCCCCGATCCCTGCCCTCCTCCCCAGGCCAAGCGCGAGCGCGCAGGTAACACGGGATTTTTGGCAAGCCAGCCTCCTTGTTTCGAGCTCTGTTGCATCGGGATCGTTGTCAACTGCGACACGAACCTTAGAATCTTGGGAGCGGGTAGCCGAAGGCACCACTAAAAGAGGACGAGTCGCCCGAGGCAACTGTGTTCTATAGACACTGGCATGCGATTTTCTACAGGCTCCGATACAAGAACGGAAGGCTTGGGATTTTGCAATTGAAGAAGACATAAGTTTCAGTTGCACAAGCCCAATGATGCCTGGAGATTGCTTCAGGTGATCAGCTCTGTGCGAAAAACGGCGTCGGAAATTATTTACGGCTGCAGCCACGTCGCCTCCCTTGGACTCTCTGCCCGCATGCATGCGGAAAGTCCGTTTCGCAGGCATGTCAGCCTTTTCTAGTCATTCAGTACCCCTGAGCATTTGTCGTGTCAGCGAAAGCCTAAGACTCAAGCGCCTGGACCTGGACACCGGCTCAGGAACATGCATGCCGGAATGGTCCACGCAGATAGAGACGGTCTCGCCCGAACTCGAGCACGTCAAGGCGGGTTTTACTCGTACAAGTTCTCGCCTGTGCAACGGAATGAGAGTTCCCGTCTGAACAATGAGATTGCGCAAGTCGTCGAAGCATCCTGGCTTCGTCTGGGTCCAGTGTTTGCTTCTTTTCCAGCGCTACGAGCAATCTGGATTCCGAACTCCATGCCCCATTCGAAAGGCAAGTTGTGTTTGCTTGCTCCTGTATGCATCAAGGGTCATTTCAATTAGAATCATTGCTCGGGGGTTGGTATCTCTCTGCTTCAGAAGTGCCACGTCTCATGCAGGCCCTCAGGGGGCTTGCGGCCTCCTGCCCTCCGAACCACGGTCTGACGCTGCATTTGCAAATTTGCGCAGTGTTCCTCTTTTGGCTTTGGGGTGTCTTACTTTCAGGGCCTGATCAAGCCCAAAAGAACTGGTGCAAGGCCTGCTGTCCGTCTGAACGTTTTGTAGAACACCGCGCAGTGTGAGAAAGTATGCCTTGCATCCTGAAGCACCAGTTGCTGGCTTGCGCTGATGATAGGTTTGAGTTGGGTTTCGGGGTCGCTCGTTGCCCCACATGTAAATTGGAACTCAGCCTTGGAATGGTGAGCCCCGCATGCCGAGGAAAAGCCTGCTTACCGAAGCCTCCGACAAAGGCAAGTGTCTGATTGAATTGTGAAAAAAGGTCTTGTCGGTATCGATGGCAGCATGGGTCACAGCTGAACGGTGAAGGAGACACTGAAACTGACCTTCGGTTCAAAGCGGACAATTTGCAATTTGCTCATTAAGTGTGCGGCCTGGAGGCTCAGGAATGAAGCTTGCTGGTACGGCAAAAAGCCAAGGATTCTCAAGGGCTTGGACTTAAGGTTCAAAGCAACCTACGCGCGAAACAACAAAGTCTCAAAGGCCCTGTTGGGCCGGCTTAAGGTTCGACCTGGAAACCTGAACATGTTTCGTAACCCCAAAAGATTGAGCATCATCAAGGCCGCCCCACCCCGCCCGCCCCGCCCCACCCCCGCCCCAGCTGCCCCCCCTCCCCGCCCGACGCCGCCCCGCCCCGCCCCCGCCCGTCCCCACCCCACCCCCGCAGGCATGATGTGCACAGCACTGAAGGCTTGGGGTTTTCGAGCTCGTCGTGCTTCACATCCATCACTTCAACAAGACGAGCACCGATTCGCCGGTTAATCACTTCTTCCTGCGGTTCTCATCCACTCTCTCCATTTGGGAACAATGTGCCTTCTAGAAGCGAGAACTCACATAGAGCGGCATTCGGGAGCAGGGTCAAATCTGCGTTCTTTTCCAAACTCGTCCGATCTCGGGCCGTTGTCCGTTTTTGCTGGAGTGCGGGGGACCGGCCTGCAAGGTTCACCTTCAGGCAACGAAAGACCCCGCAATCGGAGTTCAACTCATGCTTGCCGAATTAACTGGCAGCCAGGCAAACTTCCAGACCGGCATGGCAAGCGTTCAACCTTGTGTTGGGCCAGTAGCGTTTCGGGATAATGTGGGGTGTCATGCAGCTCGTACATGAAAGTCAAAGTCAAGGCTCTGGCAACAGCTTGCTGACACACGTGTGGGGCATACTTTGCCTGGACTGCACCGGAAGGTGCTTGGATTCGCTTCAAGTACGTGGCTGGCATGCATTGGGCTTCAAGATAGCCTACTTGCAACAGCAGTCGGTGCATCTGTGCTTGCTGTCCGAGTCAGGATGTCGGCTTTGCAGGTTCACCGGTTCGGTTTGGAGAGGGCAGGGCGCATGGGTGCGAATGTGATATCCCTACGCATGGCAAGCGGAAAGGTGTGTCCAGGTATTGCGCGTACTGTCCTTGCTGCCCAGTGGGCTAAGCAGCCTGCTTGAACCACGTGCTCGTCACGTGGGTTCTTCGTGAGCTTATTCCGCACTTTCCGCACTTTTGTTTTTCTCTGTGAAGGTGGCCTTTAGCACAGTCAAAAAATCCACCACGTGTCAGGAGTGCTGTGAGATCACTCGCGTACCAGTTTCCATCTACCCCTTCATTGGCAACGGGGAGAAGAGGGCCTTTGAGGATGACATGGCCAAAGAATGGGAAGGCCATCTTGGGGAAGTGCACTCCATTCAGGGCTCAGGTGCTAGGCGTTCAGGCTGCGCAGTGTGCTTTATCTCGGGTAGTTCTATGCAACGCTTGAGCACGCAGATTCAGGCGGATAGATGTTAGGGCTCACATTGTAATTCAGTAGAGGAATCTAAACATCAGGGGCAGTTTGCTCACGTGCCCAACCTAAACTTACTACACTTATCAAAACACTAAAGCATCAGACGGACCCACTTGAAGCCAGAGACTATTAAAACGCGCGTTGGAATCATGTTCTGTGATGTCGGATCCTCTTGTGCCCGGGGCCCCCTGTAAAGTCAACTTGCCGGCCTATTCAGGATCCCGCCGCTGAGGGGTCCCCTATAAAGTCAAGTTCATCCCAAACCCTGTCTCCCCAAAAGTCCTAGACCTCAGGATGTCAGGGCTATGACCTGTTGAAGCACAGGAGGCCAGTCCTTCTCACCAAAAAGAAGGTGAGCCACACCTTCAAAAAAACAACGGCGCCCCTAAAAACTGCTAACATCCTGAAGGTGCCTGTTGAGGGGGGGGGGGGGTTCCGAGGTAGCATTCCTAACATCATATCTGCCGCAAGCGCTGTTGCTTGTTTGATGGCTTTAATGTTAGTGGTGGCTGCAGCTACTGTCGGTCACATTGGTGTAAGGAGAGTTAGAAGCTCCAGGTGTGTACTGCCCCAGCTCACTGGACGACAGCGGCAGGATGGCCTTCTCGATGGTCAGGAGGGGCTTTCGGGGGCTTTCGGGGGGCTCGAGGGGCTGAGGACTGCAGCCGAGCTTCTTGCGCCTGTCCTGCAGCAACAGCATGCGAGCGACGCAGTGCCCGCAGCCCAAACCCCCCCCCCACAAAATCTGAACCATCGCCTCCTGGAAATCACACCGCTCCCCGAACGTTCTCGAACACCTGCTCATCCTAAACTCGTAAACTCCACAACCCCTCAGCTCACAGCTTTGATTCTGCCAGCGTAGACCCCAAGCAGCATACGACGACGGCACATTATGTCACATGATCCGCGATGCCCAACGCGACAATTGTTCTGCACTTCACGAGGAGCATGCGAATGGGACCAAAGCGGGAGTGATATTCAAACACCTCCGAGAATTCCGTTCCCTGTTGAACGCGCAAAGCGAAACCGTCCAAGAACCATTGATCGAAGCGCGACAAAGCGCGGGGACGCAACGAGCATGACGCCAAAACGCCACAAACCCGTGACCAAATCCACACCTATAACTGGGAGCTAATTAGATTTTGACCCAAAGTGAGCGACTGGATCAGACGAGAACCATTCTGGCCGGCGTGCTGCGTGGGTTTCTAAAGTATCTGATCCTCCTCACCCCGAACGTTCGAGTAGCGTCACATCGTGGAATCGCTCCCAAAGGAGCTTCCGACCCCACGTAAGCCCTCATGTGACCCTGAGCTATGCATCTCGGCGCACAGGGCTTGTTCAGGGATAGGAGGTTGACTGGAACGGCTCAGGGCTGGGAAGGTGTTGGATGGTTTTGGTTATTGACTTCGGAAAGGCATCAAGGCTCAGGAGGAAAGTTGTTTTGATCGAGGCGGCTTCAAGTAGGGCCGGGTTGTACGAGCATTCTTGCGGGCACCAGGGCGTATAACAAAACTTGGGTCTTTGGCTTCTATGGTAACTACTGTTTCCCGGAGCTACAAGCATCTTAAGTTGTGCCACATTCACCCTACAGCCGAAAATCAGAACCGTCCCAAGCCTCAGGCGAATCAAGCAAAGCCAAGAAGCCAAGGACAAGCATCACGGGAAGTGGTGCGTGTCCGGAAGAGGTTGCGCTGACTCGGATGTGGCCCGGCCACACAAGCTGCCCCCGAAGCTACTCCAGCCCCCTTCATTTTAACAAAGAGAGGCCGCTTAGTTACGGCTTAGTTCGATGTGTTCTCGGGCATGCGGATCAAACAAAAACATATTTAGGATCAAGAAAAATTTTTAGATCAATATAATTCATTTAGGATCAAGAAATAATTTATTCTGTTCTTCCGACGGAGAGAGGGAAGGGGAGGGAGGGAGGGAGAAAAGGAGGGAGGGAGGAGAGAAGGAAGGGCAGAAGGGCGGAAGGACGGAAGGAAGGAATGCAGGAAGGAAGGAGGGAAGCAAGCAAGGAAGCAAGGAAGCAAAGAAGCAAGGAAGGAAGCAAGATTGAAAGAAATAAAGAACAAAGAAACATGAAAGAAAGAAAGACACATGAAAGAAAAACAAAAGAAAGAAAGCAAGGAAGAAGTCGTGCCAGCTTGCTTCAAAGCATACGCATCTTTTCGACACCCATTTTGCGAGCATGTGTTTGCAAATGGGGGGGCGGGGCCCACCCCAACAACCCCCCGTTTGTTTAAGTCGTGCCAGCTTGCTTCAAAGCATACGCGTCTTTTCGACGCCTCTGATGCGAGCATTGTGTTTGCAAATGGGGGGGGGGGGTGCTGCACCCTCCCAACCCCCCCGGAAGTATTTTGAGTCGTGCCAGGTGCTTCAGCATATTAAACCCATGATGCGAGCATTGTGTTTGCGCATGGGGGGGTGGGGGGGGGGCCCCCCCCCCCCCCCCCCCCCCCAACCCCCGCTCTTTTTTAATTCATTCGGGCTTGCTTCAGAGTATACGCCTTTTTTTGAAACTTCTAATGCCGAGATGCCAGCATTGATTTGCAGCCTCTGGAAACTCAGAAACGCTGCTATTTACAGTATTTCCAGCCTCTGAAAGCACAGAACTGCTGCTATATACAGTATCTGCAGCCTCTTTGGAAACTCTTGGAAACTCAGAAATGCTGCTCTTTTCAGTAGTTCCCGCGTACATGCTGTATTTTTTCGGTGCTTGCGAACGGCCAGAAATGCTGCATTTCTGAGGGTTTACAGCCTCCGCTCCGCTTGCAACAACCCTTCGAAGCCGTCAGTAAATTGTTTTTTGATCCCAAATAATGTTTTTGATCCGCCTACAAAGAATTTTTTGATCCCCTACCCCGTGTTTTCGAGAGTCCTGCAGAACCTTCTCAGCCCCCCCCCTCTCGCAGTGTATGCACGAACAGCATAGAGCAGCTTGATGACCACATATCACGAGAAGTTGGAGAGTTTGGAGAGCCCTATTTCACACCCGGGTCTTAAGATGCGACATGAAATGCTCTGCGGGCTTGGAAGCGCTTGAAGTGCTTCGGCTCGCTGAGCCTTTGCGAAGTGGAACGTGAAGCGTGGTCAACATTGAGACCCAAGCCTTGGCACCTGCAGACTGTATAAGGACCCTAAACTCTCCTTGCAAGGTGGTTCACCCGCTGGACACGTCGCTGCACAATGAGGAGTGGCATCTCGGCCTGGATTGACTTCTGACGCAGGCTTCTATAGTGCTTGAATGCTTTTACACGCAGGCTTTGATCCGAGGTCTTGGACACAGGCACTCAGGCTCTCTTTCACCTCGATTCCTGAAGCCTGGAGGTACGCCGTGCCCGTCAGTGACTTCGACGCTGAGTTCGAGGTGACGGGCACATTGCACACCCAACATCTGCAAAAATGAAGCCTACATTCCAATCCCGGAAGTATCCCCGGAAGCTGAAACCCCAAGAAGAACCCACAGCCCTGCACAAGGCGAAGGGTGCCAAGCCCCTCGCCAACAACAAGAAGCGAAAGCCGCCTCCGCTGATCAAGCCTCCCGGACTCAACTCCATGAGGTCATGAACTTGAGAACCCCATCATCGTCAAAAACGAAGAAGGTTTTCCCTGTAATGTAAACAAGTCCCATCACCGGGGTACTGAAGTACGAGAAGCCGGATGGCTCTCTCACTTCAGCCTGGGCCACCTGTAGCCGAAGACATGACCTGTCTCATGAAGTCACCCTGACATAGCCCAACTGCTAAAAGCTTTACCAAGGGTTCCAGCCTTAAAACGTCTTGCTCCCAAAAGGGCCTTGAAACTTCAGGTTCGGCGCGACTAACCCCGACTATTTGGAGGAGTGCAAGGAGACCTTTAAGCGGGCTCGATGGGCTCGGCGGGGTCGGCGGGGCGGGCGGTTGATAGTCTAGTGTAGTGGGAGGTGGTGCATTGGATCGCAAGCAGAAGCCGGACGAGTTCTTCTGAGAGTCTAGATGGCCCATGCTGTTCTGTTTCGCAGTGTAAGCTCCCAACAGCCTGGTAGCGATGAGCTGCGAACATTGAAGTGACGAGCGCGCCAACGTGTGCCGCGCAGTTGCCTGGATGCTCCACAGGGGTGGCAACATGTCAATGTGGGTCTCAAGGCCAGTCTCCGCTTCTACATGTCCAAGAGATGCATCGCGACACTCCAAACGGCGACGATAGCTTTCACGGAGGCCATCAACCCTCGACCAGAGGTGCAAGATCGCGGCGATTTTCCTGCCAGAACAGTCATGGTTCTCGCACGACCGGATTTTTCTGGCGTGGTAAAATATGTACAATGCAATGTGCGGCGAGCGGTGTGATTTTTCCGCTACCAGCAGGTAGCGAGCAGATCTGACAGGCCCTTTTGCCAAGTAACGAAGCCAAAACTCTTGAGGCCGACAACCTCAATCCGTCCAAGCCAGGACGAGTCGCATCCAGGAGCGCGTCGGTTCAAGCCAGAAGAGATGAGCCTGGGATGTAATGCGGGGTTCAGGCCTCGAAGCCCTGGGAGTTCGCATGCAGGCTAGCAGATGTTCGAGGTACCCAGTTTTTCGCAGTGTTTCGCAAAGTTCTGCTCGTACCTTACGACCTTACTTTTGACTTTTGTCCACTGATAGGCGCATGTTCAGAGTTGTTTAGGATTGCTTTGCATTGTTCATGTCCTCGGAATGCAGCTGCACTGAAACACAAGTGCGTGACACCATCCCTGATGTGGCATCATTGGACATGCGGCCTGTACTGCCTGTAACGCTTAGAAGGTGTCTAAGATCGGGCAGGGATCCCAACCGCCAAGGAACAAAGCAGCCGAAAGCTTGGACGATGAGAACCCATGCAAGAAGCTTCCCTGCAGTTGAAGATTTAGGATATTTAGGGGACGTAGGTTCAAAGCCCTCTAGGTAGTCGGGCTGTAGGCTTCGAGGTATGAGCCCGAGTCCCACCAGAGGCGACTACATCTGAATGGTTGGCCCTTCCTTTGATGTATGCGTTCATGGGAGTCTTGCCGTTCTATCGTAAACTGCATCGAGCTGGTTCACTTTTGTCACGAAAAGGGGAGCATGCCAGGTATGTCTTCGCCAAGCCGGGCAGAACGGCTGAAGACGGGGAAGGCATGGCCACCTGGATGGATGATCTGCGGCTCATCCCGAGTTAGGATTCAGTTTCGTAGGCAGGGGCTGAGGCTCGCAAACCCCTGAACGCAACCCTGGCCCCGGCGATGTTGCGGACCGAGCTATGCCCGTGGCCGGGCAATGCCTTGCATGCAGATGGACCAGGGGCATGCACCTTGCATACGATCATGCATGCATGCATGCATGAATGCACTCCGCGTGCACCCCGCATGCTCCCTCCCTCTGTGCTGTGCGTGCCGTGCATACATGTGCCCAGGCATGCATTGCGCTTTTGCATGCATGGCCCCGACCCCAGAGATTTAAAAGCTAGCCAATCCAAGTTCCCTGAGGCATCTGCAAAGGCCATGAAGGTCCCGCATCTGGATTTCTCGCTTTAGCTTTTTGACTACAGAGTGCTGTCTGTGGACCCCTGCTGAAAGAATCTTCAATTTGCACGTAATCTCTGTCCTGAAGCCTGAGTTGTTGGTCAGCTGCCTCCCAATGCCTTCAATTGATTCAGACGCCACCTTGGCCTGTTCTTGAAGTCTACTCGCAGCAGTGCACAGCGCCACTGGGCCACAGCGGTAGTGCCCACAAATAACACAGGAGTGCCAACAGTGGCGACTCTCACTGTTGCAACTGGAGGCTTGAGCGTAGAGGAAAAAATAAATAAGCTCTATAAGCCAGAAGTTATATGTTACAAAACGCACCACACTTTTTGATTTTTTCTCTGAGGCACGGGAACTCAGGGCCTGGCTATGTTGGCCTTACATACAGGTCCGTGAAGGAGTGTCCGGGCCCAAGGAGGGGTAGCGCTGCAGCGTGATTCGATTGTGAGCGCGCAAGAGGTCGGGCTCTGGCACACTTAGAACCCGTAAGAGCATTGTGAACGTATCGGGAAGGTTGCCTGGCTTAAGATTGGCGCTATCGCTCGAAAGCGCAACTTAGGCACCGATCGTGCGGCCCTACGTGAGAAACAGCTGAGAAAATGGACCAAAGTGGGGGGCCTGGCAACTGCAAAGTTCCCTTTCTCCCAACTTCCGTGCCAAGGGTGTTGCGGATGTCTTGGCCAATGATTGAAGGCATGTTCAGGCGAAGGTTTGCCATGCTTACATGTAAGCCTAAAGCCTTTCACTTCCAATGACCGCCAACGCTGAGTTGGCAAGAGCTGTTGCCTGCGTGAGTGAATGATGGTCCAATCCGAAAACACGAAGCTCAAAGCCATGGATCCACGAACTGTCATGTGAATCCCCCCGCCCCCCCCTGCGGCTTGAGCCCCCAAGTCCACATGCTCTTTATGGCCCACACTCGGAACTTGCAAGCCTAAGCCACACTCAAGAATGCTATGAGCGTCGGATACCTGCAGGAAGCTAGAACCCTTGGTTCAGGGTAGCTGTTTCGAGTGTTGAGTTGGGGAGTTTTAGGGATCTCAGCACCAAGAAGCTCAGACCAACACCCCTCAGGGCCACGATACCGTTCAAACGGCTCTTGATCGCACGCTCGACTCTCGACAGCAGTGGGGCCTGCAGTGACATCTTGCCCTTCGTAGAACTGTTCCTCTAACCGCGAACCCAACCTTTCGGTTGTGAGGCTTCTGCATAGGGTTTGGACAGACATTCACGTATCAGATTTGGGAGCCTCCATTTGTGCAGCTTCGATGGCTCAGTGGGCGTCGGCCATCAGAGTTTATGCAAGCGAGACACTGGATATTCAGAAGCACCAAGTGACGTACAGGTTGACAGGTTTGTCGCCCGCACGAGGTCCCTCTTGTTCTCATACCTTCTCTAGCAGGGAGCTTTGACCGAATGTACTTCCATTGTCGATATGTACGTTGATATTGTTCTCAAAGCTGCAAGCTTTGTCATTGTAGTTAATCAGATGCGTAGCGCAATGTGCCACGAACCAGCTTTCCATTATTGTACAAATTTCTTCTCTCTTTCGTTACGCAGCGTACCGCCCTGAAGCCTTTTGGCCAACACAAGTTTCCTCAACAAGGTGTTAAAGATCAACTCCTGAACCCACCCCGAGCTGAAAGAAAGGTGCAAGCTTGTGCGGTTTAGGTCGGGGACTTCATGCTTCTGAGAACATGATACTGGGCAACAGCACCCAGCGTGGGCAATGTCCAAAATTCCAAGTCCGAATTGAAAGGGATCCAAGAGAGGGGAGCCTTCATCGACCAGGCCCTTTCGGCAGTTGACTGACAAATCTGGCCTCTTGTGAAGTTCCCTTTTTCGCGGAAGGTGCTGATGCGAGGAGAATTTCCAAAGCCAATCTTTAAGCAGACCTGGACCCCATCTAAATCTCAACTCTGGAAGAGTTTGACCTACATGAAGAGCAACCTCTGCCACCAGCAAAAGACTTGACAGGCCGTCGCAAAGGCCACGCTCGCAAAACTCATGCCGGACGTAGTCATGGCCGCCTGTCCGAAGATGCCCAGATCTTGCAGTTGGCGAACCTACTAGTTTGAACGATGTCTGTACGAATTGAAACAGGTCAAACGAACAAGCCTTGTATTGATGTGCCCCTCGGGACCGGACCCGCAACACAACCACGAACTCGAACCCTTGCCTCTCGGGATGCTTCGTTGACAGCAGGATTGTCCAGCGACTGCTTCTTACGTGCACCTCATGAAAGCATGAATGCAGGCGCCAGGTGGTGGTGGGAAAATTGTGCGGTCGAAATCAATACCGACTTTTGGAGGTGCCTCGTCCTTGTTGGGGGTGTTGACGTGTTCTTGGAGGATCAGTACACGCAGAATTCTCCACCCTGGAGATGTCAGTCCCGACTGCAGGGCTGAAGCCTCCAAGCAGTAAGCCTCAGTAAGCCTGACCTGGCTGATCTTGAACTTCATGACGTTTCCTGACCTCGCCTCGCCAGCCACCGTCGCAACCTGGTATTACAAGTCTACGGCCAAGAGTATCTTTGGTGGGCCGCCCGGCGGAGCATGAAGGTTTAGGGGGTGGTGTCGAACACGAGCCTCCAAAGCTAAACAACTGCAAAAGCGAAATCCGACATTGTTTGGATGCTACCTATCATCATCATGATATCATTTGTGTCTTGTGGTTGCGGATTTGGTGCCGCCCCCATCTAGCCCGCGAGTGAAACCCTGCTTGGGCAACTCATCACCCGAGAGAAGAAATTCTGGGAATGAGGCTCTGCATTTAGAGGGCAAAGTCTCCCAACAAGATGACACGAGCCCTAAGAAAACACAGACATGACTTGCCCTTCTGGTGAACATCCCCCGTACAGCATTGTATGGATTTAGGTCATGGCATGTTCAAGGGTTTTATACTCTGTGGTGAAATCTTAGTTCGAACCGCATCGCCAGGCCCAGGATCTGAAGGGTTTGCGCATGTCAACCTTGGGGGATACCGTTTCAGGTCATCCTGCATACTGCACCCTAAATCCCAGCTTGGGAGCGTAGGGATTTCTTCAATCGCTTTCACGGTACTTAACAGTGACGAGTCTTATTTCAGCTGTAACGCAAGCACAGTGGTATTTGCAACCACCTGAAACGTAGCCCATTGCAGCTTTGACAGCAGCCGAGGCTAAAAAAGGCCTTCTGGACAGCTAGCAGTCAAGACTGCGACCCCATTCAGCCACTAGATTGAAGCGCTGTTACAGGGTCGAGATTTGTGGCCATTGATTAGGACCGGATAAGATGCATTGACATCCCCATTCGTGTTGGTTGGTTTGGTAGACCCCTTAGGTGATAAAGTTACACATCTCCATTGATTAGGATCGGATAAGATGCGTTGACATACCCATTGTGATGGGTGGTTTGGTAGACCCCTTAGGTGTTAAAGTTGCATCTCGGTGCTTCCAGAGATTGCTCACTTTAGTTGTGTGGGCTCGAAGATTCAGGTGTTTAGTTTAGACGCTGGGTTTAGTGACGCTAGCGCTTCCAGACTTGCCCCTCAGTACCTTTCCACTTCGCTCATGAGCAGGCGACCAGATCGCCCAAAAGCCTTAAAGCTTAACTCGAAAATGGCTTGTCGGGTGTTGGGTCGCCTTGTAGTTGTTGTTTTCTCAGTAGCTGTTGAACTTTCTCAGAGTTGGAAATGCGCATGCTCGGAAAGTAGGAGTTTACAGTATGTGCCAGTGGTGAACGAGCATGCAATGCAACACACAAGTGCAGGAGGGCCTTCAGATTTGCCACATCACACAGTTGGCTGTAGGTGTGTGATTGGTGCTCACTGCACGAGGGCCCGCATCAGTGCCTCGTGTGCCACATCCATCGTATGCCCCATCATCCAGGCATAACAGCCGCAAAACTACCCCTCACAAAAGTGCTCAACCACCCCCGCAGCTCCAGCTCTAAGCCCGCCGGACCCCACGCCAACGGCAATCCTGCCGCTCAGGCGCACCGACTTTCATTCGCCACGCAACCGCACAACACACATCACCCACCAGCCTGTATAGCAACACCGACCAACCTTCGTTACACCACCACCAGGCTCCATCTCGATTCTCAGTTTGGATATGGCATGCCACGCCATTTGACTCCTCTCCACCTCACTCGCCTCTGTAGGAACAACCCTGGATGCTGCCACACTATCTCCGGCCACATCCCCGTGCTCCTAAACGAATAAGCTGTTAAATTGCGTCAAGAATTGCACAAGTCGATACGTGGGTTTGCACCCACGCTTTGCAAGCGTCCTTTGCCATGTCCGTGGTTTCCCAAATCATTTGCTAGCCGTAGAGATCCGCACGCTCTCAACCCTGAATTGCAGGGCACTCGTTGTTCAACGCTCTCGCGTAGATCACTGTCTCTTTGTGACAAAGGTATGAAGCCTCTTTCCCATGCATAGGCATATCGCGTAGGAAACATGATGGCATGATCTCTACATATTTCTTCAGAACTGTGATGCTGCTCCAATATGAACGTCGCTAATCTGATCTGCCCTTCATGGGAACTCAAATCATAGAAGTCAAAGCAGACAGTGGTGCACAGTCTCAAGTTTTAAGCCATATATGCCCTCCTCTACCCTCAGATCTAGTGCCACACAAATCTGAGCCGACTCAGGCACGGATTTGCTCGCACATTCTGCGACCTCCACTGCATCCGCGATGCCGTGAGACGCCGGGCATCATGAAGCATGCGTAAGCTGCTTTAGTGCGGGGCCTCGGCGATGTTGGCCTTGGCCGAAAGGTTTGGGACGGGGCTCACCAGCAGCAAGCTGGCATGAGCACCACTTAGAGGTTTATGGGTCCGGCACTGAGGAAAAGGTGATGACGCCATTCTCCGGGCCTTGGAGGAGGCAGTCGAAATCGTCGGAAAGAACACGCAGATCCTCTTGGAGCACTATGCCACCTGGTAAGCACATAGCTCAAGCCTCACAGAGTGAACAAGTCGTACAGGCGAGAAACGCTGGCAAGGGCGAAATCTCCAACAAGCGGAACATAAGTAGTTTAGATACGTGGCCCGAAAGATCAGACGACGCATGCGCTCAAAGCTTAACGACCAGCGTCTTACTGAAATGTGGGGTGCACGCTGCCAGTTTAGCAGACAGAGCAGCTGGAGAATACACCGAGTTCGCTTCTGACACGGCACGGCACAACAGGGCGTGAGCTTCCAACAGCTCTGCAAACGGAGCGGAGTGGGGATCATGGACGCTCCGTCAGCGATCTGTCCGGCCACGACGGATAGGAGAGTGGTGAGAACGTCATCCCCTCCCCCCCGCTAGACTCGGCCGAGTCAGAACGGGAAAACCGCAAATCGTGTGCGGCGCAATACGCCCACTTATGTTCCTTTCGGCTTGAAAATGGTAGTATACTAATCACACTAAACCCCACCGCTTTGTACTGCAAAGGGCAGGGACAAATTTGCACGACCCATTTCGAACTGCAACCGGACAAGATTTACTTCAATATGTGTACACAGCGTGTGCAGGAGTATGTTTAGATGACTTTTTGCAAATGAGATAGAGATCCGCCTATAAATGGCTATAGATGGGTGTTGTTCTTAGACAAAGCTTCAAGTATGAAAGCGCCGTCCTTCTCGACTGGCTTCTGAGGTAGGCGAGAAACCCGGCCAAGCTGCCCTGAATGAGGAGGCACGTTTAGGGTTCAGGGGTTTAGGGTTTTGGAGTGTTTGGGATCTTGTTCGGAGCCTCGGGGGTTTTGAGGTTTGGGTCATTTTGTGCGTTCGCAAAATGAAATCGTTGCCTCGAGAGCTCACGTGCCCGAATGCTAAACCCAGCTTAGTGTCCCGGTTCGGGGTTGTGGCGACAATTCTGGGGTTCTACCGAACCCTTTAAATGCCGACGCTTCAGTTGAGCTGAGCTCTGGCGCTCGTGAGGCCGAACGGATCTGCTTGAGGCTGCATCCATCCAATTCCTGTTAAACCCCAAGCACGCAATCTACTTATCGGACTTTGCCTCTTTGCTCCAACTAAACCCCTCCCCAATAGTAAAACACACCCGGAGACCCGCGGGATCTGGGGAGGGCGGGGAAACAGGGGATGAGAGCCTTTGAGCTACTACAGGTATTTACATGGTCCCGTAGCATGGTCCCTTCATACAGTCCCTTGCCTTGCTCAGAGGGTTCTGAAGTATGGGCCTGGTAGTACAAAAAATCAAAGGATGAATAGCGGCGCTCAAAACCTGCCGGTTACGAACGGCAATTTCTTCCAAGAATGGTGGCGTGCAGCAGTGTTACTGTTTAAGTCGACCTTGCTTGGGGGGACGTCGTGCCAAAACCATGTGGCGCAGGGGCTGTGCTTGCTTGCAATATTCTCAGCATATCTTATGTTGCCTCAGACCCTTAGAGGCGCGCATGGAACTCAAAGCTGCAATCCTAAAACAGCTCTCAAATGGCGGAGCACTTGCGAGCTGCGCGTCGGGGTGCATGGCTTCCGGTGTTGATGAGCTACTGAGGGACTGAGGGCTTGAGTCTGAAGTTACGATATCCAGTTCCAACATGATGTTTGGGCGTGGCGTGGGAAATCTTTTGAGCCCCACCTCTCGCCAAAACTAGCGCGGGCCTCGCACAAACCCCTGTTCTGGAAGCGGCGAAGGCGCTTTTCTTAGGAAGATGCGAGCTCTGCAGCCGAAGCCGTATCCGCAAAGACTCCAACCGTCCCTGCGTTCCTGACATGCCTTTTGTCCACGGGATACCCAAGCACAGTTTCCGCCTGGCTTGAGGCCGCGGAGATCCGTCAAGGAGTGAAGGCCAGCTTGGCGGAGATGGTTGCAATGGCGAGTGAGGCAAGGCACCACGTTGCATGGAGTAAAAGTTAGTTGGCTTGAAGGCATGTTCTGGTTACCGCTGCATACATATTACATAAGCATATGAATGTCACTGGTAAAGGTGCTAGGAACGTCGCCGGAACTTGATCGCGGCCAACATCAAGCAAGACTTTGTGAAAGCAAACGTTACTTTAGCGTGGACAACATTACGGTTGCCAGTGTTTCCTATATATCTAGCCGCAGCACCATGTAACTTGCAGCGCCTGTTGAGTCTTGTTGGCAAGAAACGCTTCACATTGTACTGGCCCTACGAAGAAACTTTGCACAATTGCCAGCGACCTCAAGTAGCAGTAGTAGTAGTAGTAGTAGTAGTAGTAGTAGTAGTAGTAGTAGTAGTAGTAGTAGTAGTAGTAGTAGAAGTAGTAGTAGTAGTAGTAGTAGTAGTAGTAGTAGTAGTAGTAGTAGTAGAAGTAGTAGTAGTAGTAGTAGTAGTAGTAGTAGAGTACTAGTAGTCGTAGTAGTAGTCGTAGTCGTAGTAGTAGTAGTAGTCGTAGTCGTAGTCGTAGTCGTAGTCGTAGTCGTAGTCGTAGTAGTAGTAGTATGTGAGCAGGTCAAAGCATGCATGGTGTGCTTGCTTAGTGCTAGTGCAGCGTGTTGTTTTCCTTTGCATGTGTAGTTTTGCAATTCGTAACAATGCCAATGTTTTGGCTCAAGTACCGAGCTTGTGCCTTTGAGCACGGTAGTTTCGTACAGTAGCTCTTAGGTTGCTGTGCGGTCCGACCGGACGCACTCAGGCGTAGCTGCACAAGTGCTTGAACTCGCGAAGTCGTAAAACAGCGTGGCCGGACTGTGATTGCATTGGTTTAGTGCAAGTCCAGTGCTGGTCGACTTCACAATTGGGGGCTGTTCTGGGAAAGTACAGCTCTTGTGCCTACGGCCCGAGTGGGCAAGCATTGCTTTGCTTGTCTGTCGCGGTCCGTGACCTGGACGCGTGGACTGTGTGCCACGCTTGCGGCCTGTTAACCAAGGCGCGGCGCTTCGTGTGCCACGCCTGCGGCCTGCTAACCAAGGCGCGGCGATGTCCGCAGAGGTTGCAGGTCAGGCCGAGGGCGTCACCCTCCTCGAAGCGATCGAGGGTGGTGACGTCCCCTATCCCGAGCGGATGAGCTACGTCGCTTGGCTTAAGTGGCGTAGGGCGACCGGCAGTCGTCCGTTGTCCAAGCGGGATGGGGTTAGCACAACGCCAGAGCAGGAGGCGGCTCTCTGGCGAAAGGTCATGAAGTTCCTCCACGACGCCGAAGGCGAGGACGAGGAGGAAGAGGAAGAAGAAGAGGACTCTGAGCTGGTCCCTGAGGCCTCGGGCGCTGGAGGCGACAGTCCGCCGCGGGTGGACGTCAGCGCCGCGGCTAGGGAGCTGGCCATGGTCCCTACCGGTGCTGCCTATGTCCCTGCTACGGCACCAGGGTCCCGCCCGGCGGGACCGTCCGGTCCGCCGTCGACAGCAGGTTCAGTCCCCGGCACCGCAGAGGGCTTACAGGCGGAGCTGCGCGCGATTTTCCGTCCAGACCAGGAACCGGTCGCGGACTACCTGACGCGCGTTTCGCGGATTGTCCTCGCGCTCAAAGCGCATGGAGTCACGGTGAGCTCCCGTGACCTTGACGCCTTGAGCACCAAAGCCACCCTCCTTGCGGATGAGTTCTCGAAGATAGGCGGGGACTGGCATCCGACAAAGATGGTCCGTCGGCTGCGGACCAGGTTCTCGGTCGCGGCTTTGCGCGGTGGCGAGGACCCCGAAGACGCAGAGGAGATTCAGCGTGAAATCCAATGCATCGGGGAACTTATCCTCGCGCTAGGGGGAAAGGAAAGCTCGAGCCAAGAGAAGGTTTGGAGCTCCCCGTCCGACGTGCCAGTTGAAGCCGTGGGGCCGCGTTCCCCAGGGCTACCACAGCCTGCGACTGCGAGTGGGTTGGGGTTAGGTTTGGACCGTGGAGGTTTGCACACTGCCGAGGTTGCAGGTGGTCCTTCCGCGGCCCGTGACCTGGGCGCGACGGACGGCGATTCCCCTTTGCGCGCAAAGCTCGCGGCGCTGGAGATGGAGATAGAAGCCCTGAAGCGAGGTTCAGACGGCGGAGGTTCGCAGACCGGGTCCCAAAACCCGGCGGGCGATTTCGCCGCCGCACTCGCCGCCCAAACTGAAGCGCTGAAAGAAGCGTTAGCGCAGAGGGGCGGGCAAAGCTCCATAACGACGGTCAAAACTGACCTCACGTGGCCGACGCTGACCGACGACAAGTCGGACGCGCGAGACGTTGTCCTGTTCTACGAGGAGTTCGAGGACGTCTGCGCGCTCGCCAACAACTGTCGCGGTATGAGTGCGCGCGAGAAGCTGCTAGCGCTACGCGGGCGGTGCCGCGGCTCGCGCATGAAGACGTACACGAACGCCTACCGCGCAGCGTGGAAGTCGGGAGAGGTTCTCTCCGACCCACAGGCAGTGTACGACCGCATCAAGAACAAGCACTTGATGTTCGGGGAATCGCGGGAGGAAAGGGAAGTCCGCGTGGATGGTGAGCATGCCTCCCTCGCTAAGGGCAAGCTCACGGGCCACCAATTCGAGCCTTTGTTTGAGGCGTCGATCGCGGACCTTGAGGCGGTGGGTCTTGGGAAGACCCCACGAGAGTTGTATCTCTCGTACCTCCGCAAGATGCCCCCGTATCTCCAAAAGGAGATACGTAACGACAAGCGATTGTGGCCCGGCGACCCCAAGGACGGCGGGCTGAGAGGGCCACAGACTTGGGAGGAGAGCCATAAAGTCGTCTTGGAGTACGAACAGAGGGAAGCAGCGCACCGAGCTGTTTCCCACTCTGTGTACTCCACGACCGGCTCTCCAAGCGCGGACCCGTCGGTCGCGCTAGCCGAGGCTCAGAAGGAGATTCGGAGCCTCAAGGCCGCCGCTAAGGCTGCTGCCAAGGGAGCAGCTGCCGCGGCCAAGGCTGGCGCGGATCAGACGTTTGCCGCCGCGTCGAAGGGAGCTGGCAAAGGGGCGGACAAGAAGATCTGCTTCCACTTTCGCGACCACGGGAATTGCCCGAAAGGGGATGCCTGCCCGTTCAGCCACGACAAGGAGCTTCGCAGAAAAGCTCTCGCGGCTAAGCAGGGTGACCAAACCTTTGCCACGGCGAAAGGCAAGGGCAAAGGGAAGGGAGGTGGCAAGGCAAAGGCCAGCGCTAAGCCTAAGGCTGCGGCCAAAGGCGCGGCAAGAGGAGGAGGCGGAGGTCGTCAGGGACGAAGAGGTCTCGGTTGAGATGGAGGCTGCCACCGCGGATGAGGCGGACGAGGTCGCCCTCCCAGCCAACCGAGCCTACGTCGAAGGCCGTTTTTACCCCTACGGCAGCTGGCGGTGCTTCTTCTGCGAAGCCATTAACCCGGTGACCGAGGACCAGTGCCTCACCACGCACGCGGGCGGCCCGAATGCGGGCGCCCCGTGCGACGGCCGATGGATCAATGGGATCGACATCGGGTGGTGGGAGGTGGATCCCCAAACCGCGCCGGAGCAATGGCGGCGGAGGTTTTCTGCCGAAGAGCTTGAAGACCAACAAGCGCGGGCAGATGCCGCGAGGCTCCTCAGCGATGAGGAACTCGCTGAAGCCCTCCAGGCGGCCGAGGAGGCGCAGGCGGCCGAGCGCGCCAAGAAGCGGGAGCGGCGCCAGGCGGAGAAGGCGGAGCGCGATGATCACATCAGCGAAGCGCTCCGCATAGCAGGGTGGCAGTGCCCTAACTGCTATGAATGGAACCTTTCATTCAGGCAGCTGTGCTTTAGGTGCAGCACACCCCTCCGCTTGGCAGAGGTCGTGTCCCGCGGGATCCCGGAT